CCAATAGTTAATTAATAATTTCCCTTAATAATTCTTAGAAAAAAATGGTTGCATGTCTGTGTGTATGTATGTGCTAATACACAATTTCGAGAGCGCGACAGGAGTTTATGGATCAACAGACTTCAATGAGTTTCAAAATTTTCAACAAATCTCATTTTTCAGATGAGTCGATTTTTTAAATTTTTTTAATCAAAAATTTTAGATTCGAAAAACCACATTTTTTTAAACTTTTAAGCTTCCAGCAATTCGCCTTAAGGCAATGCCCCACTAATTAATAATTTTTCTCGTGGAAGTTTTTCGTGGTAGAACGAACTGCGTCGAAACAGCTGTGTCATGCAAATCAGGCCTAAAAAAGCAAGGACAACCTTCTACTCTTACGAAATCTATTTATTAGTTCTTTATCAATCATTACGTTTATTAATTTAATAACTACAACGCTAGAAACGTCTGAGAGCTTTCACTTTGAATAAATCGATAAGGTTTAATTTTTTTTTGGATGTTGATTAATAAAGACTAATGGTCCATGTTTTACTATTGTAATTTATTCGGCCAAAATTTGTACTGCTCTCACATGTGGCCTAAAACTCACCTCAAATAATTCCTGTTGGTAAATTATGAGAATTTTCATTGTAATAGGCAAAAGATTATAAAACACATGAAAAGCCAAATTATGTAGAGAATAAACAACTATAGAGATAAACTTGAACGTCTGAAACATTTTCAAACTAGGTGTACATGGCATTTTGCCTTATTTTCTTAATACTTCTTTATTTATATTACTAAATCTAATATTAGATTACTAGAGAAATGCGTTATCTCATTTGGTATGAAAGATCACAGCAAACTGGTTTATAAAAAGTACACATGCATTGAAAACCTTCTATTCAATTGTAGGTGTTATTAATTATTGTATTACCTGTAATATGACAACATACATTTGAGCATTCTAATTTCCATAATTAATGACAATGTGTTGCCGTTCGAATATTTCAATAATGGTAATTGTAAGTCCAGGAGTAGTTAGATCAGTGGTTCCCAAGTAATTTAAAAATGGACTCTACACGACTTGAACTTTTTTAATTTGAGTAATTGAGATTCAATACGTGACATCGGTGACAAATTTTATAGAACCAGGCAAAATGCTAGATAAAACTTATTACTATATTTGGTAATGGAAAAAACTTGAAGTTTATGAATGTATGAAAAAATTTTTCTGGGAGGTTGAATTAGTAAAGGGGAACAAATGCTGGTATAAAGAAATGTTTGAGTTTCTATAAATCTTTGAAGTTATTAAAATGGAACATATTTTTTAGGCAAGACAGATATTACAGCTGTTTAAAGAATGAGATTATATCGCCAGCGAAACAGTACAAAAATACCGTGAATGAATGAATGTATTTTCATTTTAATTACATGAAGTTCTTCAAACACAATTCCATGATGAGTGAAGTTGCGAAAACAATATTTGTTTAGGCGTTGTTTAACATAATCCACTGTGTGAATAATATAGAATTTATTAATCCGCAATTACTTCATTTCTCTAATAAAGGTTTTCTAAATGCTAATTACAATGACAAACCGATCATGTCATATTTGAGGTATGACTTTAATTACATTATTGTTTTTACATATTATACATATTTTTAATGCTATTATAAATATATAATTTTTAATTTACCATTATATAAATGTTTATAATGGTTGACACTAATAAATGTGTGCATCGCGAGTGTTACAACATTATTAATAAACATTATTCAAAATTGTTATATGATGTATTTATTTTTACTTAAATGCCATCTTGTACTGTAGCAAATAAGTTTTACTTTAATCGTGTGTAAACCTCACGTGCATTCTTTTTTTTGTGTACAAAAAAGTCTACTTTACAGTAGTCTACAAGCAGTAGTGTCATCGGTTTTTACTTACTTAGAAGTATTGCTAGCAATATGTTGCCAAGTAAAAATAGCTCTTACATAATTTATGACATAGATATAGGAGATTTGTGTTGCCAATTATATAGCACGTCATTAAGAAGTTATCATAATAGCTTAGAGGACTTAAGGTTGGATTGCTGATATATATATATATATATATATATATATATATATATATACGCTTTGAGGCCCGCATGCCATTTCTTCCTTTTCGCCACCATTCCTATATTTTTAACTGTTTTTATAGTATGTCACTGAAATTATATGAAAAAACTACGTGTTTTGGCGCCCCCCTAAAGCGTGCGCCCGCATTTTTCGCATGCATTGTATTCAGGGTAGGATCGTTCCTGTATGTATATATATACATACAGTTTATATATATATTATATATATATATATATATATATACTAGCTGACCCGACAAACAATACATCGTGACATTTGATGACTTCGTGATCCAGCAAACGTTCACAGATAGAATTTTGCACGCGAATAGGTTCAGGGGTTACCACCATGTTATACCATTTTTAAAATACTTTGTTGAATGAAACATTATTATATACATTTGTTAATAATTTGAAAGATTTCTTGAAAAAATAAC